ATATGAGAGCGACAGGGAAGACTTACTGTTGTCAGGGAAGTAAACAAAATAGCATTGAATTCCTTTAAATTCTAAGGTGGTGCAAAAATGACGTCACCTCTGACGTCATGGCAGATACACGTTGTGACTGCCGATCGGGGTTGGAGTATTTCCGTTATATGTATTCCATATATTTGTGCAATGAGTTTAGTGTAATATTAAACGTAAATAGATTAAGAAAAGACTAAAGACTCATATGAGCCTTGGAATTTATTGCTTGAATTTTATGCCATCTGGGTTCGGGGTTTTCCCAGAATCATTATTGTCCTTCTTGACAGTGAGGAGCACTGCCCCCCCCCCCTCAAATGACGTCCCTGGTTTGTTACACACAAGGCTCACATTACGACGGTGCGGTTCGAATGCCTGATTTAAGTTAGTAATGTGCATATATATATGTGTGTGTGTGTACGTACACACACACACACACACACACACACACACACACACACACACACACACACACACACACACACACACACACACACACACACACACACACACACAAATATATATATATATATATATATATATATATATATATATATATATTTATATATATATATATATATATATATATATATATATATATATATATATATGTATGTATATTGCTTACTAGTATTACTTGAGGAACTCATTCATGAAATGATGTAGGACTTTGACTCACTTGAAGTCGGGGGGGGGGGGGGCGATCTCCAAGCTGAAGAGTGGTAAAGCAGCGGATATCTGCAGCATCTCAGCTGAACTGTTAAAGGCTGGCAGAGAACCAATGGCGAGGGGTTTGCATGTTGTCCTATCTGCCGTCTATCAGACTGAAACCATTCCCCAACCTGCCGAGGGGTGTGGTCATACCTCTCTGGAAGGGGAAAGGGGATCAGTGGCACTGCAGTAATCAACGAGGCATTACACTGCTCAGTATACCAGGCAAGGTTCTCGTTCACATCCTTCTGATATGTATCAGAGCCCACCTGCTGAGGCACCAAAAGCCGGAGCAATCTGGATTCACTCCTTGTAAGTCCACAATTGACCGTATCCTGTCGCTTCGAGCCGACGTGAGTCCGGGCGTGGACTGCTTGTAGCTTACATCAACCTCAAAAAGGCATTTGATACCGTGCATCGCTTTGGGAGATCCTGAGACTAAGAGGAATACCAACAAGAATTACTGGATTTATAGTAAGCCTGTATATTGGTATTGAAAGTGTTGTAAAGTGTGGTGGGGGTCTGTTAGTTCTGGAGTGAAACAAGGTTTTTGCGCTAACACTTTTCTACACTTGCATGGACTGGATACTGGGTAGAGCTACTGTCCAAAGTTGCTGTGGAGCAACTCTGGACAATATCAAGGTTACCGACCTTGACTTTGCTGACGATGTTGCTATTCTGTCCTAGTGGTAGCTGGTAGCTCTTGATACATTAGCAATGAAGCGAAATTCCTGGGACTAGAGGTCTCCTGGACCAAGACCGAGATCCAGGACTTTGGGGACCTGCTAGGAGATCTTGTGAGGACAATGAGGTCACAGAGCTTTATTACCTTGGTAGTGCAGTTATTGACTCCAGACTGTCAGATTAGGAAGTCAGTAGACAGATTGGCCTGGGATGAAATATCTTAATAAGAGTATTTGGAGATGCCGGTACCGGTGCAGAAGGACCAGGCTATGTGTCTTCAAGACTGATACTGCTAGCTTTACTATATGGTAGTGAGACCTTGACGCTAACTTGTGCCTTGGAATCTCGTCTTGATGCCTTTTGTAACAGACTGAAAATATGAACAAATAAAAAGCACTAAAAAATAGAATTGAACTTAAAATATAAGAGATAAAAAAGTAAAAAAAAAATGCATTCGCAGCAGATTTGGATGCCCCCATTATCTGCACATCTTGGGAATCATTGTAAACTGTATGTGGATACCGAAAGGATTTCAATAGTAACTTTATTCATAATAGTTACATGTGTAAATCAATGTAAATTACATGTAAAACAGGGCCAGGTCCAGGATTGTTAGAAAGGGGGGGGAGGGGCGTAACCCCTAGCCGAGACGATTGCGAGTGCCAAAGGCACGAAGCCTAAGCGGGATAGAAAGTTTCTATCAATTATCCCTTTTATTGCTGACTGGGACTTTTCCTACCTATATCCCACGTCTTTCCCTGACGATGTGTAAAAAAATCCTGGTCTAAAAAATCAGGAAAAAATAATGGGAAATGGGGAAATTAGAATAAAAGTAGAAAGAAGTGAGAAAATGAATGAATAAGAAGAGGGGGGGGGGCTCGCCATGAGGGACACTCGCGGGTGGAAACGAAGGGTGGATTCGGCTATGCGCCTCGTCGGCGTTAACTCCCCGATAATGATGATGATGACACTTGTTTCCTTAATAATATTAAAGCACCTACCTTGAGTAACACTTGTCCCTTATGGTTCCTCATAGGCTCGCCATGAGGGACCCTCGTAGGTGGAAACGAAGGGTGGATAAAGATGCTCAACTTGTTCGGACGAAAGAGTTCTTTAAGATAAAAATCGAAAATGGACTGTTCATACTGTAAGTCCCTCCAGACTGCCTTGGCGTGAACCATGGGGCTGAAAAACAGATGAGAAAATATGCCACTATCCTGGAAAAACAAAGATTTTATAGATTTTTTTTCTGGGAAATCATCTAATATACACTTCAAGGATATATAATATGAATTGAAAACACAAGCTACCTTAAATTAAGCTGTAGTTACAATTCTTATAACTGCAGATATTTCAATTATGTCAAAAAGTTACCGGTTTAATCATGTAACCACACAGATATAAAGCTTGGTCTTCATGTCAAGGTCCTTTTCCGGGTTAATTCTTTAATTACTCCTGGTCACCTCAAGACTACGTGCTTACCTTTTCAAGTATAATGATGCTTGAATGCGGAGCCATGAATGGAAGACAGAGACATTGTGCGTATTTGTTGCCGGGTCCCAGCTAATGCCTTCTAGAATGCTGCGTGAATACTACACGAAAAAAATGAAAACGCATTTTTAAAAAATATCCATGAATACCAGCTAGAGACGGACTAAGGGGTGCAATCTTAATGCATAAGAAAGGCTGGAGTTTATTTCATTATGTATAACACTGAAAATCTGAGACATTTTCAACTATAGTAACTCACCCGTACTTCTGTGATGCCTCCGAAGGGACCGGCAATGACCTGGTAAAGGCCTATCATCCCTCCATACCTGTGCAGCACTGGTGGAAAGTTGATTGGACTACGTAGATAGTACTGTCTTTTGCATAACATTTTATACTTTTTACACACATATATATGTACTCTTAAATGCATACGTGTATACATATATATATATATATATATATATATATATATATATATATATATATATATATATATATATATATATATATATATATTATATATATCATATATATTATATATATGTATATATATATATATATATATATATATATATATATATATATATATATAATATATATATATATATATATATATATATATATATATATATATATATATATATATATATGTGTGTGTGTGTGTGTGTGTTTGTCTCTCTCTCTCTCTCTCTCTCTCTCTCTCTCTCTCTCTCTCTCTCTATATATATATATATATATATATATATATATATATATATATATATATATGTGTGTGTGTGTGTGTGTGTGTGTGTGTGTGTGTGTATATACACACACACACACACATACACAGACACACACACACACATTATATATATATATATAAATATATGTGTGTTATGTATGTGCTGAATAAAGCAGATTCGTGTGATTAGGACTACTGTACAAACTTCACTCTTATGGATTAGTAGAGAGGCAGAATTTAAAAAGATGGCTGGATAAGGTTTTAAAATCATTTTAGGGTAGAGACCTACATCCACCCTGGTTTAGTCTCTACTAGTGTCCTCTGCCAGGAAAAAGTGGATGTACTAAAATACCAGCCCTATTTCGGCCATATTTAACTGTTTTCCTAAAAATAATGATAATGGGACATGTTACGTTTTCTGGTGAAACGGCAATTTCAGAGATCCCAGTGCAGCTGGAATCAAGAGAGATGAGAAGGATGTGCAAAATCTCATTGCTGAGTTTGAGAGGTTCACTGTGTTTTCCCAATCCAGTGACAAACTTATATGCCTGACCACAAATGATGTAGCTCCAGAGAATGTCTCGGATGAACTCTCGTTAGCAGCAGATAGGGGAGCAGCACACTTGGAAGAGTTTGTAGTTCACCGTCTCGTAGACAAATCCACAGACTTCTACTCTAAACTGAAACAAAACAAACCAAAAACTCTAGCATTGATATATCAACTGAAAAAACATTCAAGCAGATAGGGATCTATTTAACAGGCTTCTTGTTGCTGCTGAGAGTGGTAGGAATGTTAAACTCTAGGAGATCCTTCAACATGAACTGTCAGTAAAACCACTTTCTCTTGCTGATTCGGGTGGTTCCCTGCATGCAACGCAAAAGGCGGATCTATGCAAAATCCTAATAAAGGACTTGCCAGTGCAAGAGAATATCCCAGACAGCAGCCATTCGACATGCATTGTTATTGATGGTCCAGCACTTATCCAGGCAATTGGTAAACCAGAAAATGGCAATACGTTTGGTGATCTGGGTGATGTCTTCTTCAAATGTGTACTCAGCCAGTTTAAGTCAACCTGCACAAAGGTGGATGTCTTATTTGACAGGTACGATGATATATCAATCAAATGCGGTACAAGATCAAAGCGTACAGGTACCATACGACCAATCAGACGAATAGTTGACAGCCCAGATGTTAAACTACCTGTGAACTGGAAACAGTTTATTTCCCTCAACGGGTAGAAATGTGGAAAATAAAGCAGATTTAGCCAGATTCCTGACCGACCATCTTATCTCAAAATCACAACTCATACCTGCCGGCTGTGAACTCGTTACTGCTGGAGGGTTCAGTAACATTGAAGATGTGTGGTCATCAACGGGTAGAAACGTGGAACAACTCAAGGGCAATCATGAAGAGGCAGACACACGTTTGATCCTGCATGCTGCTGATACCTCTGATGGTGGATATGAGAGAGCTGTTTTATTCTGCAGAGACACTGATGTGTTAGTGATAGCCCTTCATTTTTTACATAACCTCAGTAAAGAACTATGGATGAGAACTGGTACCAGACAAAAACCTAAGTTTATTTCCATTCATCAAATAGAAGTCACAGACGAGGTCAGAATGAGCATCATTGGGTTCCACGTTTTAACAGGCTGTGACAGCACCAGCCAGTTTGCAGGAATTGGTAAAAAGACAGCCTGGAAAACCTTCACTGTGGTTCAAATGCCAATCTGCTGAGAGGTCATGGTGAACAAGGAAATATGGAGGGACTCAATGACAATATATGCAGACCAGTGGAGAAGTTTGCGTGCCGTCTTTACTCTCATGATCATGACTCAATAAATGAGGTCCGCCTGGGTGTATTTGCGAAGGGAAAGAAATCACTAAACAGCCTTGCTCCTACACAGGATGCCCTCCGGAAACATATTGCTCGTGTGCAGTATCAAAGTCTGGTGTGGAAGCAATCGCTTGTTGCTCAACAGAAACTTCCATCCCCAACCCAGTTTGGATGGAATCTGATCGATGGAAAATCAATACCATTATTGACATCAATAGAGCCTGTTCCAAGTGTATGCGAACAGCTTGTCACGTGCAAATGTAAAACTGGATGTGTACTTCTCTGTGGATGTGCTGCAAAGAAACTTGTCTGTACCGTGGGTTGTGATTGCAGGTGAACTTGTCAAAATCCACACAACAAATATTAGATCATGTGATTAACTAAAGCACTTGGACATTTTGTGTTCACTTTAGCCTTAAATTGAAAAAATAACTTTAACAAAATCAGTGCAACTTATGAAACGTTGCCTCTCCAAAGACTCTGGGGCAGACTAAAACGAGAGTTTTTAATGGCAAATTGGGTTGAATTAAGGCTCTCAATATGTTTTAAAGAGTTTATATATTATCTAGTTAGCAAAAATGTTCTGTCTGTTTAAATAATGACGTCTGTCTTAATACATAGTGGTGTCTATCAAGAAATATCTTATCTTTGTTAATCCTGTCATTGATATTTTCAAAATGGCCGCCCATGCTCAAATTAGGTCAGATATTTTAGTACATCCCCTCTAGAAATATTCAAGACCGATCAGGTAATCAAATCTTGGCAGATGTAAGTCTCTACCTTTAAGTGATTTTAAAAGTTAAATTTTTCATTTTGACTCTCTACTAGATATTGATCAAGTTGAAAGAGAGAGAGGGAGAGCAGAACAAGAGAAAAGAGAGCCAGAATGAATGGTAATGATTATAAAATAAGAACAACTTCAAAACTATAGGTAAAGATCATTACAATAAGTCCAGGTATCGATTTAATACGAACAATATTACTGTACTCACAAGTAGTGTACAGCTCCCTGTAACTACTAACTTCTCCAAGGTCGGGATCCTTAACATTAGTGGCTGTAAAGATCTGAGAGAAGTTATATACAGTTGGCAAAATAACATTTTCAGTCATTACAAGAAGTGAAATATCTGTCACACACAAAACACACAAATACACAACACACACCAAACATATATATATATATATATATATATATATATATATATATATATATATATATATATATATATATATATATATATATATATATATACGTATATATATCACATGAATACTGCTGTTTTACTTGTCTCGCAAAAACGTTTCCACACAAAGTCGTACTGGCTAAGAGTATGGAAAAGTGTACAGGTTTCGCCCAGCATAGCAAGGTCATGGGGGTCACACAGTTCCATTATGCACAGGAGCAAATCCTCAGGTAAATCTATAAGGCTAGGATCTGCCATACTACTGGTCTGGTTCTTAGCTTTGGCAGACTGTTGATTCTTCTCTTTAATAGGTTTATTTTTTCCAAGTTGATCCGGTGTTTGTAGTCTTTACATTTCTCTGAAAGACTGAAATGTAACATACATTAAGTGAGCCATTGCATTTTGGGGGGTTGATATTACATAAAGCATTTTAGTAGCCACACACACGATTACTCGCGATTTATGAAGATGCTTTCTCCTGGAAAACAGACCTCGGAAAATAACGCTCACTCGCTGATATGGGTTGCAACACATATGCATCGTTGCAACCCTTGTAATTCAGTATGACTAATATCTGATATTCAGAAAGGTAGGGAGAGAGAGAGAGAAAGGTAGTCATATCCATTTTCCCTAAACGATATAAGTTATCAATAATAGATAACCTATAAAGTTCAGGACAATTATTGTTGAGTATCACATAAGATAAGGAAATCTGAAAAGCGACAAATATCTGAAAAAGATAAACCTAACATTTTCTTATGCAGGGTTTCCCTGGACATCCCTATTCCACGAAAGTGTAAAAGTTAGGAAATGCTAATGCAGCTCATGCGGTCTACTGGCT